ATTTTCCTAGCCACCCTAAGCTTATTAAAACCCCTCCCCCTCCCCCCTCCAATCCTACGTTTTTTAAATTTTTACTTGTTATTAACAGAAAAATTAAATCCCAAGATTAAAAGTTATTGTATTTTGTGTATTTTAATTATGACTTAAATTTGAGACATCAATTCGCAACGTTATTGAGACATAACGTTGCGAATTGATGTCTCAAATTTGAGTCATAATTAAAATACATCACAAGTATAGATTTTATTTTACGTTACATTACGTTTTTTTGAAACTTTTAAAAATGTAACCAATTGAGACATAACGTAACATAAAAAAAATCTGTATTTGAGACATACTTTAATTGCGCCTTATTTTATGTTACATTACATCTCAATTAGTTACACTTTTAAAAGTTAAATTAAAAGCCAATTGAGACGTAACATTGTGAATTGAAACTTTTTTTTTTTGATGACAAAGTAACCAGTTGAGACAAAGCTATTTTAAAATAAAAAGTAAAGAAAATATGGTAATTAGCAATGCATCAATGATAAACATTAACTGTGTTATCAAGTTAATTTGATTAATATTTTATTAAAAATAAGAGAATGTAACTTTGTTACCAATTTTAACCAATTGAGACGTAACGAAACTAGTAAAATGTTATAGGGGAGGTATATATATGTGTATATATATATATATATATATATATATATATATATATATATATATATATATATATATATATATATATATATATATATATATATATATATATATATATATATATATTTTTTTTTTTTTTTTTTTTTATTTTACTTCACCTCCTCAAGGCTGAGAAGGCCACTACAGACAAGGAGGCTACTTATTTTGTGGCTATAACCCTCTCTCAACTCTATAACTCCGAAACACGAACCTTGACGAACAAGGCCGCTGCGCGGAGAAACGAGTTGAGCGTGGTACTACCAGGGACGTGGTGGGGATCGAACTCGGAACCACTCGTTTATGAAGCGAGCGCTCTACCACTACACCACTACCCTGATATATATATATATATATATATATATATATATATATATATATATATATATATATATATATATATCAGGGGCTATTCTAGACGCTTTTAATACCTTTTTGATTTTTTTCTTGCAAATATTGTTTTTTTATTAATTTAGTTGATGAAACTAATTAAATTTAATGTTTTTTTATAAAAACCACAAAAACGCATATTAAAAGACTAGAATGTTTTTAAAAACAATTCTCAACGTTTTTATTATCTGATAATATTAATACGCTAATTTAATAGTAGTAATAGTTGACTTACGTCATTTTCTATTCTTTTCTATTTTAAAGTAGTTTCTAGACTTTTTTATACGCGTTTTTTTTTTTTTTTTAATTTTATTTACTAACAACCCGTATTATGGGTTGCTTACTGCTAGTTATTATTATTTTTAAAACATTCTAAATGTTAAATTTTTATTTTTTTACTGATAAATGCACGAAGTGTTGCATCTTTTGTCATGATCTTAGTCTTAGATTTATAGTGTGTCATTTATATATAGGGGTGGGAGTTAAGGTTAGTTTTAGTCTAACTAAAATTAACCAACTAAATTTTTAGTCTAACTAAAATTAGTCGACTAACTTTTTAGTAAACTAAAATAAGTCAACTAACTTTTTAGTTAACTAAAATTACCTGACTAACTTTTTAGTCTAACTTAAATTAGACGACTAAATTTTTAGTTAACTAAAGTTACCAGACTAACTTTTAAGTTAACTAAAATTAGTTGAATAATGTTTTAGTTAACTAAAATTAGTTGACTAACTTTTTAGCTAACTAAAATTACCTTACTAACTTTTTAGTTTAACTAAAATTAGTCAACTTATGTTTTAACTAAATATAATTAGTCTACTAACTTTTTAGTTAACTCAAATTAGTTGACTTAATATTTAGTGTAACTAAATTTAGTTGACCAATGCAAGATTTAGTGCTTGAAAGAAGAAATAATCTTTAGCATAAAAATTTTACACATGAGGAAGCTTTATTAAGGCGGTTAAATATTATTTTATCGTAATTAAACGCTATACTAATTATGAATACTAGAGCCCAGCTGAATTAAACTGTTATTAAAAAAAAAATGTTTAAAGCTAAAATCGATTTTTTTTTTCCAGCTCAAAGATAACTGCCAATGAGGTTGTTGTAACTGTTTATAAACACCTAATCAGCATGGAATGTGCAAATAATGCCCTTTAGTCAATTAAGTCAAATTTGGTACGTTTATTGAACGTTTAACTTACAATTTTTATAGTGTAGCAATAGTAGTGTGCAATAATAATCACACATCAATATGAATCTCCCCTGCCAAGGCCGTACCAACGGGGGTGTGGATACCTTCCCAGATTGACAATATTTTGTTGGTAATTTGGGACTCAGTCGGTTAAAACTAAAATTTGGTTTCTAAAAAACAAAAGCCCTACTTTATTAAAATTTTTATGGTAAAAAAGCTTTTCTCATTTGCACCCCCTCCCTCCCACGACTTCGTTGTTCGGTATGGCCTTGTCCCCTGCTATATTATAGGAATGGATTCAATCTCTAATTTTCACAACAAATCTACGATCCTCCCACCCCTTTGGATATCAACCTCTCCTAACAATTGATAACCACTCCAAATACAAAAAAAAAAAAAAAAAATTAAAAATAAAAACCACAGAAAAACAAAACAAAATACAGTAAAAAAAAAAAAAATTAGAAACAATGCAGTAGAAACATTTGGCATTCTAGTTGTTCCAAATACAGAAGGTATAAAAATATTTTGTTCACTTAAAAATTATAAATGAGCATTAAATCCCCTCCCTTTATTAACCCTCCCCAAACCTATTGTAACGTTAACGTAACCACCACAACAAATACAATATGCAACCTACTAACATTTATTGCGTCTACTCTCCCAACTATTATAACCCGCAAACACTACAGTTAGGCAAAGCGAAAGTATTGACATAAACCCAAAAGGTAATCGTTAAATAAGTTATTATAAACATATTTATTGCTTTCAGAGTATAGTTGCTCGTCGTTTGGCAAGACTTGCAAAATTTAAAAGGAAGCTTGGTATTCGCATTTTAGAATGTAATTTCAGCAATATAAGTTGTTGAATAGTGTATAAAATGTATTAAAAAATACTTTACTGCTGAATTATCAAAACATTTTTTTAAGTAGCTGAAGTCGCTTTAAAAACCAGGAAATTGTTTATGACTTTAAATATACTTTAAAATACATGTAAAACTGGGTCAAAACAATTATCAATTAAAATTCAATAACTTTTTTATTATATTTATTTTTATATTTTTTCATTAAATAGATGTTAAAAAAAAAATACTGAAGAATATATAAATAAATATTAAAAATAAAATAATCAAATTATCAAAGTAATAAAGGTAAAAAAATAAGTTTGCGTTTCTAGGCAACATTATGAACCACACACTCGAGAACATTAAAATCACACATTAATTTTTAAAATTTTCAATTTTTTCTTTACCATTTTTTTTTAACACATTTTAAATTTTAAAAACTATATTAATTTTTTACATTTTTGCAACAAAAAAAAAATCAGTTTTACACAAAAGAATTTGAATACTAAATTTAATAATATTTATTTAAGAATAATAAAACATATTAAGAAATATTTATTACAAGAAAAAACTTCAGTATTAAATTTAATGAATTTAAACTAAATTAAAAAATTCCAAATTTTCGTACAAAAACATCAACATTTGAAAACATTCAGTTGTCATTCTGTTTCGCTTTGCATACAAATTATTTAATGCGTCAGAGAAAAGGTGTTCACTTAATGTACTGGTAGCAGGCGTACATAAAATCATTGTTGAAATGCAATACAGTTTTTGAAACACATTTTCCAAAAGTGTAAAACATTTTGGTCATTTACTGACAATTTTATATAACCACTAATTTCTCTTTTTAAATCTAAACATTATTATTTTTTCACTATCATTTATGGAACCATCATCTTCATTGTCAAATGATAACTTAAATTTTTTTGATTTGATTGTCACCTTTTTAACTGGAATTATATCACAAACTTTTTTTGTCAAATAAAAATCTGACAAAAATTCCTTAACGCCTTTTAAATATTTTTTCTTGTACTTTTCAAAGAATTGAAAACTTTTATATTTTGGATACAAAAAAGTGGCACATAATAAAAATAAATTATCCTCTAATTCGTATGAATCTTTGTTAGTTTGTAAAGATTCTAATAAATTCAATTTTAATAACACAATTAAAGGAGGGGTATCACTTTTTTTTTATTTAGTTGCTTCTCAAGGTACTTGGAATAATTAAAAAACATGTTGGATAAGTATCGCCCGAAAGTAAAACACTTACTTGATTAAAGCTTACTAATGCTTTTACTGTTTCTTTTAAGTTAACTAAAAAGTTGGTCGACTAATTTTAGTTTGACTACAAAGTTAGTTGGGTATTTTGTGTTAACTAAAAACTTAGCCAACTATTTTTAGTTAATTAAAAATTTAGTCGACTAATTTAGTTCGGTAATTTTAGTAAACTCAAAAGTTTGTCGACTAATTTTAGGTTGACTACAAAGTTAGTCAGGTATTTTGAGTTAACTAAAAACTTAGCCAACTATTTTTAGTTAACTAAAAATTTAGTCGACTAATTTAGTCGGTTAATTTTAGTTGACTAAAAAGTTAGTTGGATAATTTTAGTTAACTAAAAAGTTAGTCAACTAATTTTAGTTAACCAAAAAGTTAGTCGACTAATTTAAGTAAGACTAAAAAGTTAGTTGGGTAATTTTAGTTAACTAAAAAATTAGTCGACTAATTTTAGTTAACTTAAGAGTTAGTCGACTAATTTTAGTTAGGCTAAAAAGTTAATCGACAAGTTTTATTTATAGTTTTTTTAGTTTAGTTGTTACAATTTTTAGTTTTGGTCACAACGCTAGTCATTTAATTATTTTTTTTTTAAAAAAAAAACCTTTTTTTATTTTTAGGTACTTATCAAACAGAAAATGCAAAAATTCTCAAGTATAAAACTTCTCCTTCTTTTACAATTGCTGGAAGAACTCGTTATGGTAAAAAAGATCACATACCTGGACCAAGTTCTTATAATCTACCAACAATGTTTGGTTCTAAAATTCCTATTAAATCCTCGCCACCATCATTTTCAATGTCTGCTCGATCAAAATTTGGTGGCTTCAATGAAGATCTTAAAAAGGTAGTAATAAATTAATGAAAATAACCTCAGATAAGATAATATTTTGTCATGTAAATGTTAAAAAATTAAAGGTTCTTCACACCATCTTGCAAATTACTCCACAAGCTTGAAAAATAATTAACTTATATTAATTTTTGTAATGTTTATTTTTTCTGCTTTACGCCAAATTTATTTTTTCTGCTTTACCCCAAATTTTGTTATCCTATACACTAATCTTTTTTTTTTTTAATAAAAAATGCAAATTATATCTTGTTCTTGATGATTAAATAATCTTATATTATTATACTCTGCCCCCTCTAACTATCATCCCATCAGTTTTCTCTGTTATTAGCAAGGCTTTGATTATTTAATTAGCAAACTTCTAATATCTCATCTAGAGTTGAACAACTTACTTACAATCAGTATGGATTTCAATTCTCTCATTTTGCAGGTTTAACCTTTTTAACATAAAAGCTCTATTGTGCATTAGATGGAGGCAGTAAAGTAAGGTCTATTGCTCTTGACATACCAACATCTTTCAATAAAATCTGGCATGTGGGACTTCTCCATCAACTAACTTTATCAGATGTATTTGGAAAAGTTTTAAAAATTAATGAATCATTCCTTTTTAAACACAGTATTAAAGTTGTCCTTGAAGGTCAATATTCTTCATTTCCAGTAACTTTTAGGGGTACCACACAGTTCCATCCTTGGTCCTGTATTTCTTCACATCTATATTATTCTCATCTATATTATATCCTCCCAACAATATTACATTTAAAGTGGCTATATTTTCTGAAAACACAGCAATTCTTAACAAAAAGTCATCACTTTTTGGTTGCTTAAAACAAGCAGCTGATCTTAAGTGTGATCTCTCTTCTTTTTTAGCTCGGGGCTTTTTATCTTTTACATTTCATTAAAATCATGTATACAATCCATTGCAAAGTTAGCATCTACTAAAGTTGTCTCTCTTTATGGCGCTTGCCATTTCCTTACTCCTGATTCCATTCTCTACCTCTCTTATTTCTCTATGGAATACTGTTGTCATATATCTATGTATTATAAATATTATTAAAGTATTATAAATATTTATCAAAATATTATAGTATTTTTTAAAATACAAACTGTTTAGACTCCTGGACCTGGTACATATAATTCTGGAGATCCTAACTCATGGAAAATAAAAGCTCCAATGTTTTCAATGGCAGGTAGAAGTGCATTACCAACTGATAAAACTCAAAATCCTGGACCAGCTAAATACTTGCCTGGTGTAAGTATTTTTAAACTATTTCTAATATTATTCAATGGATAAAGAAGTATATATATATATATATATATATATATATATATATATATATATATATATATATATATATATATATATATATATATATATATATATATATATATATATATATATATATATATATATATATATATATATATATATATATATATATATACACATATATGAAAATACACACACAGACGCACACATACACACACAAACACATATATAAATAACATTGGGTCATTATTGTACCAATACTGCTTGCACTTAAAATCATTCCATCTTAAAAAAATTATATTTTCTTTGACCATGAACAGGGAATTTTAAAACTGGCATGTGTTTTAAAACTTAAATGTTCAAAACTGACATGTTTCAAAACTGAATAATTTTCTCATTAAACATAACAAGTTAGAGCATTTTCAATCTTGTTTTTCTCAACCTCGCCAAAGTTTGTCTCAGTAAGGCAAAAGAGTGTAATTCATTATAATTTTTTCTATCTTGTTACAGGGCTTAATTTAATGGTCGGATATTGTCGCCCCTCAGATCATTTTTGAAACCTGCTAGAGGTTTAGAGGCGACAAACATTGTTGATATTTTCAGTAAAAATGAACAATGGATGGTTGCCCCCAAAAATCAGATCTCAAAAACAGTCCGAGGGGTGGCGATGTCCGACTGTTAAATTGAGCCCTTTTGTTATGCTTTTTGATCAGAGATATTTGGCAAAGGTTGTGTAATGGTCTCAACTGTTTGACAAAAAATGTGTAATTGTCTTTACTGTTCAGCTAATAAAATTTTAGTCTGCAGTATCTAAATTTATTTGTTAAACAATAGTTTAATTTATTTATATACTTAATAGTAGTAATATATTATTTTTAGTTTCCAATGTTAATGCAAAAAAACATTAAATAAACTTTAAATTTTATAAGTCATTGAATTTAGAGCTCTAAATTTTTACCAGCCTACTACAATGATTGACCTGATCTTACATCAGATGTCATAAGCAAAACTTTGTTTAAAAAACATCTTGTTGTTTGCTAAATCTTTTTTTTATTTTAGTAAATATTCCTGTTATCTCTTAATGAATGTACAGCTCTAAAAGTTTAATGGTTTTGAGGATGGTTGGTAGTAAGATTTCCCACCCTCTGTAGCAGCTCTCAGAAAGGCTGATTTCATCTGTAAAATTCAGCTGTATAATATCAATATATAATAAAAGTATTAACATATATGCAACATTGGTAAGGAAGGAATTTCTGGTTAAATGCTATTCCAAGATGTTCTTTTAAGACTGTATTATTTCTTGGAGCACCTAAATAAACAAAATATTATATATATATATATATATATATATATATATATATATATATATATATATATATATATATATATATATATATTGTACAAATATTGTGGTCTTTGAAGTAACTTTCCATAAGTTGAATATTACCTATATAATTCACCATATTTGCTTGCTCTTTGTGAGACCGTTTGAATTTAGCTGTTTCTTCTTTGGATCTCAGTATTGACGGCTATATTTTATACTTGTGTCAAACCTGATTTCTCACCTATTTGTTGAGAAATCAGATTTGAGTCTTCTGACCATTCTTTAATGTGCTTCTGCTTAGCACCTCTTTGCTCAATCACCCTTCTTTATTGTTCGTCTTCTCAAGACTGCACTCTTTTGGATTTTTTAATCAAATTGATCAAAATCATTCTCGTTATCCCTCTGACAATACTATCATTATTGGTAACTTTAATGCTCATCATCGCTTTTTTACTATTGCAAGAAATCAATGTAAAAAGGTGCTGTCTGGTGCTAAGCTCCATTTTTCCCAGTTTACTAAATTTTATACTATATATCAGAAGTAAGGCCCTAGAGAAAATCTTCAACAGTGTCATTAACAAAGGTAAATTGAATATTCCAATTTTGATTCATGGGTCTCATCTTATTACCTCTCCTGAGGTTAAAGCAGAACTATTTGCAAAGAACTAATTCTACTCTTGAATCTAACGGTTGTACTATTCCTGCTTTCCAGTTAAACAGGTTAACATATTGTTAGACATCTGAGCTTCCATTGCTAAAGTCATATCTCAATTAAACTCTTCTATGGCTTGTAGTCGAACATTCCTAACACAGTCTTACAAAATTAGTTTAGAAAAGTCTTACAAAAGTAAGAACTCTCTTCAGTCTTTCTAAACTATTTAATTATTGCTTGAATCTTGTTTTTCTGCGTGCTGGAAAATGGCATCTATGATTCCATTTTTATTCTCATATCAGTCTTCTCTCTGTTATTAGCATAGCCTTTGAGACAAATGCTATTGCTCTTAGATATATCTAAAGCAATAGCTTTTGATAAAGTTTAGTATGGCGGCCTTCTCCATAATCTTGCTTCATTTGGCGTATCTGGGAAAATTTTTAAAAATTGATTTAAAAAGATTCTATCCTTGATCCTGCATTGTTTTTTTATCTACATTATTAATCTTTCTAACAATCTTACATCTAGAGTGGCTCTATTTGAAGATGACTCTACTTTATTCTCCTGTTTTGACAAAAAGTCTTTTCGATTGCTTAGAACAGCCAGCCAATGTTAAATCTGATCTCTTTTCTGTAACAGCTTTGGCCTTGCAGTGGGTTGTAACATTCATCTCCATCAAAACTCAGTTGTTTACTGAAAACAAGTATTGCAATATAGACATTCCTATATTAATGAATGGCAACCCTTTCACTAAAACCTCATTATGTTAAAACATAGTTACTCTTATATTTTTGGATTATCATTCAGTACTTATGGAAACCAAATATACTATTGATTGCAAAGTTAGTATCTGCTAAAATTGTTTCTCTTTAACATGCTCATCATTATCTTACTCTTGATTCCATCCTCTCCCCTTTAAATCTCTTATTTGTCCCTGTATGGAATACTGTTGTAATGTTTGGGCTGGTTTTCCTATTGATGCTCTATTTTGCCATTCTCTTAATTGAATATAGTATTATGGAAGAGCTGATACAACTTCTCTACAATCAATTGCTTTTCCGGACACTTGTTTCGCAGATTGAGTATTTTATTTTAATACTCCCATTAAGGATAATACTTCCACAATCAAACCATCATTATGTTTTCCTGATTTATACAACTTTCAGCTTTTCAAGTCTTCTGTCAACGTTTCTTTGCTCTTTTCTTTGTTTTCTAGTATCTCCCTCCTCAATAGTAGTTGCTTGTAGCCTTGTTGGTAATGAATTAGTATCAACAGCAACAAAATCTAATAGTTAATAATTTTTTACCTGTCCGCTTTAATAATAATTGATGTTAATGAATTCATTTTTTTTTTCAAAAACTTTAATCCACACCTTTTCACAGCTATTTTTCAAGTTTAAGAGTTTGTCACATCTATTTAACTAAAAACACATTTACTGGTCTCTTTATCGTAATAAGATTAATCATCAGCCTTTCTTTCTCCAGGTAAAATTGCAACAAAAATATAACAGAAAAGTATTTTTATAATATATATTTTTTTGTTATAGTAAATGTAGTGAACCAGCATAAATAGTTTTACTTTGCTAAAGAGCGAATTTAGACAATTTTAAATATTTAATGAAAACTATTTTTTATTTTAGATCACTAAAGGCACAACACCAAAATTTTCTTTTGGTGTTCGACATTCGGAGTATGTCGTCCCGTTAATCGCTGATGTTTCTTGTGCATAATTTGCATTCTTTACATTATCATTAGGTTACTGGCTGGGGTTTTTTATGCATTATAGCTGTTAGATTTATTAGTAGCAAGATCATTTTTAATTCATATTCAAAGTATAATTGGTCGAGAATATTATTTTTTAACTTAAATTTTAATATGATTTTTTTTTATCATATATTTTTCTATATTTTTTTATTACTATTATTATATTTTATTTTGCTATATTATGTGATAAATATATACTTTATAATTAATATATTTTGTGATTAAAATATTTTTAAATTTGGTTAATTTTTTTTTAATTCATTGTATATTTAAAAATTGCATTTTTTTAAAATAGTTTAAATATGTTTATTGTCATAGTTTATTATATAAAAAAATTATCCTTACAAAATTTAAACATCCGATTCAAAGTGGTTCTTAAAATTAAAAACTTGTTAATATTCCTATTTAGGCCGGTTTACATTATAACTACAACAATTAAAATCATAGGATCTGTAAAATTAATTCTCGAAAAGTAGCAAAATTATGTTTTTAAAATCTGTTTTTTATAATTAAAAATGTTTTTAATAACTATCAACCTCTTAATTAAATTATTTAGAGTTAAAAATGGTTAAACGATTCCGTAACACTGTAATGTATTACTCTTTTTTTTTTGTTTTTTTTGTTTTTTTTTTTGTTTTTTTAGGTGCCCCAAGAAGTCCTAACGGTCTTGTCACAAAGCACCGCGGATGTGCATTTAACCAGAAAGTTAAATGCACTTCCGCCCCTCCTTTCTTACCATGACGCGAAATTTGTCCAAAGCTCGTTTCGAACATGGATATCCTGTTTATAAAGCAAGCGCTCTAACCACTGCGCCACGGCCGAACAACCACCTTTGGTGGTCAATAAAAACAGCAATAAAAATTAAGTAATGATTCAATACTTGTTAATTATGCATAATATATTTCTTTTACTTCCCCGGCTTTGCTTTACTTCTCAAAATAAATAAAATTTATATACAGTGAAATCCCGATATCTCGAACTCCGGATAACTCAAACTACTTATGAGTTCCCCTTGAACCCTCACTAATACTTTCGCATAAAAACAATTCGATAAAAGTCAAACCATTTTATCTATTCCGACGCACTGCTCCCAGATAGAGGGTTTAGATTGAAGATGAAGGTACTTGGGATTTTTTTTGGTAGAAATATCAGAAAGACATACTCAAATAAGATTAGCCAAAAATTAAAATTGTACCCGCTCCTAAAATTAAATTTCATATTTTTTTATTGGTAACTAATTGTGTACCGAAACTTTGTTGTCTATGGCACTAAAGATAGTCTAATAAATTTCAAAATATAACGAGAGTACATTTATTTTTTAGAATTAAATTTGCAATGTATATTTAAATATATATAAACTTAAACATTTAAAATTTAAAATCTGTGTGTAAAGTATATCATATATTTTAGTCGGAAAAAATTGAAAAAAAAAAATTAATCAGAAAAGAAATCATCAGGAGAGCAAAGGTATAATTTGTTTTGTATGTTGCAACAAGAACAAACAATGTATACTCCAACAAAATCCAGCTCAAGTTGCTTTAAAAAAGTCTAGTAAGGAAGCATATAGATAAAGGTTTTGATGTTAAAGTGAGTTATTTTCTTATGAATGTTCTTTTAATATCTTTTTTTTTTCTTTTTTTTTTTAAATTTATGTTTGAGATGTGAGATATTTAGTTAAGACAACTATAATAATATATTTTAAACTGTTAAAAATATTTGTAACTACCGTTTGAATTTAAATTAATAAAAAATATATTTTTCTTTTCATTTTAAATTTAATATCAAAATTTGATTAAAAAATTTAACAAAAATAACAGATAAATTAAGGGTTGGCGGAAGGAAACAATAAGGGGAAGGGTGCTAAAAATATTTTTTAAATTTTATTAAACTAGATTTAATCGTTTCAATATTTTCTTAACCTCATAGGGTAAAGTGTTGTTAATTGATAATACAACTGTCGACATATCATTGTTATTATTTTAAAGTAATATTAATTTTGCAGTGGCTTTTTGTTAATTTGGTGTCATTTGCTACTTTCAAGATTAAACATTTATAAATAACAGACTTATAGGTTGATGGGCAGGGGGAAGAGCTGAATACCAAAGCCCTCTACATTTTAAAAGTAAGGGGGCTGCATCCCCCTAAGCACCGCCTGTTCCACCAGCCCTACATTTATACATTATCATTATAATTTTAAATTGTAAAACTGTTTATGCTCCATAGGGTCTATTTAAGCTATCTGCGGCACCAAAGACAAAAAGGTTATGACGGTAAAAATTATCACTATTAAAAATTAAAAAAATCATCAAATTCTCAATTTAGAAGCGACTCCGATTTTAATTTTTGTTTAGCATTAATCTACTAAACTCACCTAATAATTCTGTGAAAAAACATCCAGGTACCTTCACCTTCAACCTATACCCCCTATCTGGGAGCAGTGCGCGGCTAATATTTTCCCGATAACTTTAACTTACGAACAAGAAAAAACCGCTATGAAGCCCTTGCATTACAAAGTAAATGATAATTAAAGTTTGATAGTTTATAGTATAAGTTATGCTAACGTGCGTTGCAATAGTATAATAAAATATGTTGCATTTACATTTTTCTATGGCTACTATCGCTTTTAAGTGTAAAAATGAACACAAAATCAATTAAAAGTACTCTGCTTTAAGGGAAATTGAAGGATTGTCAACGCCTCAGGTTGCTATGAAGTATAGCATTCTAAAAAATACGCTGTCAACATGGATCAAAAATTAAGAAAAAAATTTCGAATGTATAAAGACGCAAGGGATTAAGTCAAAACGTATGAGAATTAAAGAAGGAACATTTTTAAATTTAGATTATCTTGTTTTTAAATGTAAAGAGTAGAAACGTGGCAGTATCAACAACAATTCTTAAAACAAAAGCCAGAGAACTTGCTGAAGAAGTTAGTATAAATGGATTTTAAGCGTCTGATGGTTGGTTTCATCGTTGTAAAAACAGGTATAGTGTTTCTTTCAAGACGGTACGTGGAGGGATAGCTCTTGTACAGCTGAAATGGCTACGCCATGGAAAGAAACAACTCTCTCTACAATTTTATCGAAGTATAAAATTGATGAATTTTATAATGCAGATGAATTTGGATTGTTTTTTCATATGCAACCTAATAAGTCACTAAATCCTCAATCAAAGACGTGTATAGGGAGGAAAGCACAGTCAAATTCGTCTTGCAAGGATGGTTGCAGCAAGTGCAGCGGGTGATAAAATTCCTATGTTTGTAATAGGAAAATCAAAATCACCTTGAATGGATTCGAGAGCTTGTTTGTTCCAGTAACCTAAGCCTACAGAATATAAAATGCAGAAAATAAGTTTTAGTCTATTTAATGAATAATTACCATAGTTTATACAAGTTTAAATTTGCATAAACTGTTGTATTATCATAATAAAAAGTATTTAATTACTATTTTTGTAATAAATTATATTATTTTATTCTGTTGTCAAACTTAAAATTCATTTTTCATACAGAAGACTCCACCTTTCATGTCAATGAATTCGATAAAATGTTGCTCACCTTCAAAGGAATTGTAGCCTCTAGATTTCTATAGCTTGTAGACATAGAGAACTGCTCTATGTCTTTGATATGAGTGGAGCCTAATGATTTTCCAAAACAGCGATGGACCACTTTTTCAAAATCGTTAAGTACCTTAATGTATTTGGATACGGTATCTCCAAGACCGGACTTCTGAAAAAACAGCTGTCTATGTTTTTAAGCTACTTGATGCATGCATTGCCTTCTAAACGATGCTGCCCTTGGTAGGATACTCTGCAAATATTTATTGTAGACAGATATTAGTTAACAAACTGTAACCCACACTCCTTATTTTCATACAAATTTTTTTCAATTTCTTTTAAAATTTTGTCTATAACACCTAAAAGTATATGTAGACTGGGAATATTTACAAGCTCTATTATTTTTTTATTTTTGTTCCCTGTTAAAAATGGGAGTTTTTTGCATTTTTTAAGTTTGCACCATGAGATATCCATATATTATCAAACATGCTTCATATGGTGTATCTAAAAAGTTATTTCAAGTTATTGAACTTAATTTTGCCTATATCTAAAATATATTATTCGTAAAAATATAATTAAAACAAAATTTTGTTTAAATTATATTTTTACGGATAATATTTTTTAAAACTATTTTATTTACATGTTAAAAAAATAAAATTATTCAAAATTTCTTTTATTTATGCAATGTTTAGGGGCTAGGCAATAAGACTATTTGTTCCCGCCATTCGTATATATTACAAAAGAAAAGTAATAACTTGTAACGGCAAATTTAGAAAATTATAAAAATTAAAAATCAGCCACTGCATTAAAGAATGTCTTTATGTAATAAAAAAAAGCAACAATCAATGACGTAATTTGAAAAAAAAAATTATTTTAATAATTATCAAATTAGTAATACTAAAATTAAGAATAAATAGAACCATACTATAATATTTGTTTGAAAAATACAAATGATCTTGTAAACTGTAGTCACTTATAAAAACCTAATTTTTTTCGTTATTCTTTGACAAATTTTAAGTTCGCGTCATTTGGTTACTTATTCACGAATAAAGAGTTAAATTAACTTTCGAATGAGGAAGAGAATTTGATTGTCAGACGAACTTATAACTTAATTAAAGATAATTCTTTAAAACCACTAAATAATTGGTGAGGTTGCTAAAACTTTAGATGGTCATAGTTTTTGAACACTAAGAGATTATTGCATAACATTAGAGATTTGTTAATGAACTTAAACTTAGTTTGAAATGTTAAAAATATGGGGAAACCTCCCCTCCCCCCTCCAGCTGTTATATATGCATTTGAGTTAGCACATTTGTGCATTTAGCATTTCAGTTGGCAAGTTTTGAAGAATATTTAGCAAATATAAAATATCGAGGACCCTTTTTTTTGTGTATGTGTGTCTCTAGCTGGTAAAAAACACATACAAATCCCTCTCCCCCCATTGAGAGATCTCTTCGGGACAGCCCTGACAACAACTACGCTAAATAAGAGAAGCGAAAAGCAGCAGCATAACTACAAATATTCTCGGCTCTTTTACGGTAAATTTTTATCAGGTTTACTAACCTATTTCCTCCCGACAAAATAATTGTAAATTATAAAAAACAAATAAATCAAAAAAATGCTTCTTCGAAGCTTTTTTGCAAAAAGTATTTTTTTCTAAAAAGTTATAAACCCCAACTTTGAGGAAAAACAAAATATTAGAAAAAAAATAAGGGTACGATCCCCTTA